GACAGGATAAGAAAGGTCTAATCTTGCCATATGTCAAAAATCTATAATTCTTGAAGAATTAAAATAATCCTTAATTCATTTAATATTCAAATAACTAAAGATTAAAATTTGTTCAATTATTCCACCTTAGAAGGTAGCATAAATTCAATCGTTTAAAAGATTAAACAAACATGAAAGATCAAAAGCGTGTTCAAACAAAACAATGCTCTCAATGCAAATAGTAAATGTCATGCCCCCTTCTTTGACTGTCCATGCCCCTAAATCCATCAGGTTTTGGATCTTGCGCTCTCAGTTCTTAGATGAATGTCTGAAGCTTCCTATGTGGTAACTGCAAACAACTTCAACATTGTAGCCCTTAGGATATGTGGACTCTTTTCTCAGATCATCCTGGCAGGCTTAGTCCTCTAATCAGCTGATCAGGCTCCCACTGTACCGATTTCAATTTTTCTTTTAATTGTTAAAATCTTTCTTTCATGTGGTGTCACGTGGTTAAGAACACTCCATCGAATCCTCTATGAAGAAATTTCATGTTTATGAAAATACTTAAAAATGAAATGTAGATGCAAAATGCAAAAATGTATGAAATGTTTGAGGCATTGATCCGAAAACATGTCTGTTATTATAAATAATCCTTATTGGGACAAAAGTGTTTTATCTTTCAAGAGACAATAAACATATTTAAAGGTACATCCGGACTAAATCTTTTAAACCAGAAACAAGTTGACTAGTATTATCCCTTCATCTGTCACCAGTAGAATACCTGTCGAACCGCTCCGGCTTCTCTGGCCAAACCGTGTAAGTGACGAGCTGTTTTTTGTACATGTTTCAAAGTATTGAATGACTGCATCTCTAGCTTTCATCCTTTGCTGAACCTGTTCCATAACGGAAACGCCATTGAAATCCTTCATCAAAGGGATTATCTGAAGTTCATTTGATTGTTTCTTGAATTTATCGACAATGACCTCCAATTCAACTATCGTTTTGTCATCTTGTTCTTGTTGTCTTTGAAGGGACTCTCGAGGTCAGTAACCTTTTTCTTGTGTTGCCCCTACCACCTTTGTCAACCTAATTTTGAAAAGTTGAGTTGTGATGTACTTTATTGTGGCACCACGTCTTCTTGATCGAATGTGACACATAGTTTCCTTGCAGATTGTCATTCTTTTCTTTCTGAGTCTTTTCTGACCATAGCAGGACTCTTTCGTTTTTCACCTCTTGTATTACAACCCCTTTGTCTATTAATGCGAATTATTTACGTTTAACGAACACGTTTTTTTGGATCAACACATCTTTTTTAATGATGAAAATTAAAATAAAAGAGAACAAAAATAAAAAGAGTTAGTGAGGTAAATCAAAACAATAATAAAAATGAAAAATCCTACCCACATGATATCTACCCCACATGTTTATTATTCCTACCCGGACATGATCTCTATCCCACATGCTAATTTCAAAAAAATCCTAACCGCATATTTGTCTAGTTCGCATGCTTTGAACAGAAAGTAAAGCAGGAAATAAAATCAAAGTAGCCTAGGGTTTGGAATGAGGTTTCGGAGTGGGCTCTAATTCCTTGTAATCTCCCGGTTTAGGTTCTAAAAAGGTACCCGAGTTTTCCTTGCTGGTGCCCCCTTGGGCTTGTCAGACCCTTAGTCCTAAGACCATTACAAGCTTGTGTGGACTAAGTTAAACTCAAGAGAAACATTCCCTTATGCCCGCACGGTGAATAAATTCACACGAAGACATAAGGTATATGAATCCTGAAGGCTACTTGCTAGGCATGTGCGGTGAATAAATTCGCACGAAGGCGTCGCTTTTACCCCTACTTAAATAGGGTTTAAACTCAGGTTTAGAGCTTTAAGTGAGAAACAAGCTTTGAAGGCTGAAATCATTAGAAAACAATTAGTACAACTATTTACTCGAAAATATAATCAAAAGTAAAGGATCGAAATGCTACCTTAGAATTTAAACTTACCCTTTTCGTTAAAAAGACAACTGAAAATTACCTTAGCCTGACTCACTTACCTATCCCCAGCGGAGTCGCCAAGCTATCGCGGCCGTCTTTCAGTTGGGCCCAAAATTGGGCTCCAACTTGAATAAACGAATTGGAGTCGCCACCGATCATTTATTTTAAAACAAATGGGTTGATCAGATACCCTATTTCTTACCTGATATGCATCTTTCCAAAGATGTGTCGGATTCGGGAGTCGGTTACAGTCAAGGAAGGGTTAGCACCCTGAACTGCCCTTTCGGTACTACGCAATTTCCAGTTGTCTTAAATTAAGAAAATTGTAGTTTAAAATTAAAAGGTAAAAATACGATCCCAATTACTTACCGTAGATAGTTTTAAAGGTGTTAAGAGAGTCAAGAAACATGTTAGATAAAAAAATGAAAATAAATAGATTAAAGAAAATAAATAAAAAAACTGACCGAAATAAAGGAATAAAAAAAGAGTGAAGATAAAAATGAATACGATAAGAAAAATAAAATGAAGAAAAAGAATAATAATTATAATAATATATACATAATAAACGAGTAAATAAAAAATAAGAAGAAAATACAAATAAATAAAATAAATGTAAAGAAGATAAAAAAAATAAAGATAAGAAATAAAAATAAAAATGAAATAGAGGAAAAAAAGGGTAAATAGAAATAAATAAAATAGAATAATAATAATAATAAAAACAGTAAGTAAAGAGTAATAAAAGAAAATAAAAATAGAAGGGTATAAGAATAATAAATAAAATATATGTATATATGTAATAATAATTATAATATTTGCAACAAATAAAAAATAAATGGAATATATATATATATATATATAATATGTATAGATAAATAATAGAGAGAAAAAATATAATAATGGTAGGGAAATGAAATAAAATAAGATAAAAAAATATAATGAATATGCATATAAATAAAATGTTTTAAAAATAATAATAAATTAAAAAAAAGATAAAAAAATAAATCATATAAAATATGATGATAATAATAATGAAGTATATATAATAATAATAGTAAGAAAAAAATAAAATATAAAAAAATTGAATTTTTTAAAGAGCTTTTCCCCTCCTCTTTCCAAATGTCCGAACAATTTTCACAAAATAGTCTCGGGGTTCCGTAGATCTAAAAAGTTAGTTTCGAAAAAAACCCCTCCGGTCATCGGCCTTTTGAGTTTTTGTGGTTTTACAAATTGAAAGCAAGAAACAAACGACACATGCAACCTAACAACCGAAAAAGATAAGGTTTTTTACCTTTGTTGCCTTCGAAACTTTGCAACAAAAAAAATGCTTTAATTGCTCTAAATTTTCTGTTCATATTTCGTCTATAAATTGTGTGTTACAATAGTGAGTTACAATGGCTATTTATAATGCTTATGGATCCTATTTTTAAGAGTTTGAATCATAGTAAAACTCTATCATATTTTTGGGAGTTTGAATCATAGTAAAATTATTTCCTATTTTTAGGAGTTTGAATCCTAGTAAAACTCTAACGTTATGTTTGTTTTCTAAATCCCACTAAATCGGAGTTGTTGAAAGTGTTGTATCCGGACGAAAAGGTGTGTTGACAAGGTTGATCCGAATTAATCAAGGTGAAGCCTTAAAAACTAGAAGGACAACAAAAAAAAAATATCATAATATGTTTAATTCAATTTAAGATTAACTCTTATTCCTAGTTGAGAATGTTTCTGGCAATGAAAAAGTATTTTCCGCTCTATAAATAAATGTTAAACACCAAAAATTGATTTAAACATTATTAGAAAAATGATTTTCAACATAACCTCAAATGTTTAAATTTCTAGTTTTAACGGTGGAAAATCACCTATGGGGTGAAGCTATATTTTTTCCCTCGATTATTTACTTTTAATTCACAACATAATATCTAAAATATATATTTTATCTTTTTAAAATGAGTTTTTAACAGTAATCACAAATCAGTTCTTAAGAACATTTTAAAAAGTATTTTTATAACATTTTTTTAGAGTCAAAACTAAACTAGAATGTCTAAAGGAAAACGTTTGTTGTAAATTATCATTTGGGTAATATTTGAGGCAGGTTGATGGTCCATAAAATATTTGGTAATAGAATATAATAGAAGAATAAAAGTATGATTGAATTATATGAACTAATCCAAATCTAGTAAGAAAAAATTCAAAGGTTGAGTGATAATTACCTAATTCACCAAACTTCAATCAAACCCCACTTTTCTTATTTCCTTAAATACAAGAATATCAAAAAAATAAAAATAAAAAAATAGTTAATTGCACCATATGTCCCCAAAATTTAACTTTTATTTTAAATTAATCCTTGAACTTTTAAATATTTTAATTTCATCTCCAAACTATGAATCTCATTCTTAATTAGGCCTTAAACTTTGAACAGTCTAATTTCATCCCTAAACTATGACCCTCTTTCTATATTGGTCCCCAAACTTTTGAATATTCCAATTCCATCCCAAAATTCATCCAAATATGTAATTAGTTTCAACCATAATTTAACTAAAATTTTATTTTTATGAAACATATAGTAATATAACTTGGCCTAACGATTTTATTAACAAGGGATGTGATTAGTATAAACATACATTTTGTGATGAAATCAAAATGTTTAAAAAGTTTGCGGACTAATTTAGAATATAGGTCATAGTTTGGGGATAAAATTAAAATATTCAAAAGTTTGAGGACTAATTTAAAATAATAGTTATAATTTAAGGATGAAATTAACATATTTAAAAATTTAAAGAATAATTTAAAATGAGAATCATACTTTGAGAACGTACAAAACAATTAACTCTAAAAACAGAAAAAAAATATCAGATCATAGAAACAGCTTTATCTATTGACTAATTCATTTTTTATCTGATATTTCTTCTTCCAAATAATAATGATTCCATAGCCTCCCTTCCCTTCCATCTTTTTTTCTCTCTCTTTTCTCAAAGACTTCAGAAAAAAAAACTTTGAAAATTCCACCGTCAATGCTTTTCTTTTTGACATTTATATGTTTTGATTGATTGCTTTCATGCTTTTGCTGCTTTAACTTTCCTGTGTATGTAAAAATAAAAGACTCTACAACATATACCAGAAGAGGCGATGGTGGTGCAGAAAGTCTTGTGACTCAGATCCCAATATACATACTGACCCTCTATATTATACACCATTAACCAGAGAAGCATAATAAACTGCTTTTGTTTTGTTTTTCATTCTCTTTCTTCCATTAAAATCTGGGTTTAGTTCAGTCTTAAGCACAGGGGGTTTTGATTTTTTCTCCTTGTGGTCCTTTTCTCTTTAGAAAAGAAACCCACTTTTCTTCTTTTCTTCTTGTCCTTACTACACTTTCCCTTTAGTACTTGGTAGGTTGGAAGAAAAATACAAGAACCGGGTGGGTTAGGCATGATGAACAGTGGTGGAAGCGATGCAATTGGAGGGTTAAGAGCCGGAGGCGGAGGCGAAATGTCTGTTTCCGGCGATCAGAATCGTCTTTTGAAGGCTGAGATAGCTACACATCCGCTCTATGAGCAGGTCTTAGCGGCCCATGTGTCTTGTCTTCGTGTTGCTACGCCGATCGACCAGTTGTCTTTGATCGATGCGCAGTTGGCGCAGTCGCATAACCTTTTGAGATCGTATGCTTCACAGAAACAACAACACGGTCATGCTCTATCACCCCATGAAAGAGAAGAGCTCGACAACTTCTTGGTCAGTTCATCTCTTCTCTTTGTATTCTTCTTTTGTTTGTTTTTGGACAAGGTGGGTTAACATGGGAAAGTGGTTTTTGTTGTTTATGGTGTATGTATGTGTTTAATCTTATTATTATTATTTTTTTATTCTGGAACATGTTTGTGGTGCAGGCACAATATTTAATAGTGTTGTGTACTTTCAAAGAACAACTTCAACAACATGTCAGCGTCCATGCCGTTGAAGCTGTCATGGCTTGCCGTGAAATCGAAAATAACTTACAGGCTCTCACTGGTTTGTCTTGTCCCCCTCTCTTTTTTTCAAACATAATTAGCTGCTTAATTAAGATTTTTAACTGGTTTTTGGACACAATCATATCCTCTTGATAATATTATTGGTCTTTTCAAATTTTATCACCAAATTTCGCTACTCCTTAATAATAGTGTCTTGCTCTTTATCTCTGGTTGGTAGCCAGGCATGAAGGGATAACGATTGATAATATTTGGGGTAAACCAGCAAGTTGGGTGACGTAGGTACTACAAATAAAAGTCATACTATACTAGCTTATATATATATATATATAGGGTAAGGTGGCTTTGGAATAGTTAGTTTTGAGGAAGAAGATGGCACCCTTACCCTTCATTGCAAGTACACTACCTAACGGTTTTCTTTTTAATAAATTATAGAAGTGGTAAATTGACATAAGTTAATGCAATAATATTCGTGTCATTCACAATTTTGTGCTAAAATTGTGTCAGAGAAAAGTAGGCCGTTTGTATGGTATCTTTGATGGTTCTAGGGTTTGAGAATATCAGTTCGGCAGTCATGGCTCGCACCTTTCTGACACAATTTTAATGGCGATCGATGCCATTTATACGTATCACACCTTTCTGACACAATTTTAATGGCGATCGATGCCATTTATACGTATCAGTTGTTGACCTTACGACCACTGCAACTCTGCAACCCTACGAACGTTTTGTTTTTCTTATAAGATTTCTTATTTATTGATCGTTTAATTTAGATCAAGTATTAAGAGATAAGGACATCATTTAGTTCAATTTATTCTATTTACACACTTCATAATTTTTAGATTAGTCACAAACTTTTTAGGAATAAAAACAAAATATTAGTGGAAAGTATTATATATATGATCTACTTATACTCAATATAAAACTTTTAGTTTTACACATTTTTAAGAGCGTTGAATGAGAAAAATCAAATGTTGAGATTTTTTTTTTTTTCTCTAATAAATATCTTCTTATTTCTTATTGTTAATCACAATTTTAATTTTTTCATTCTACGATCATAACAAAATGTTAAACTATTAATTTTATAACGAGTGTAATTGAATCATGACATGATATACCAACATTGTAGTCATGATCATGTAGTAATAGGGATATTACGATACGTATTGATCTAATAAAGGTTTAATCTTTTTATTGCCTCATTTAAGTAGTGGGACAACTATCCCCCTCGATCTTCATAAAATAGATTAAAGATATTTTAAAATTTTAAAATTATTAAATATATTTAGTTAATTAGTCAAGTTGTTCGTATTTATTTTTTTAATTTTTTTTAAGATTGAGTTCTAGATTCACCAGAAATTCTCTCATTTCTTTCTCTAGAGTATGTTTCACATTAAATGAAATATGTTCAATGGTAATTGATTTATTTGTTTATTTTTATATATATGAAAAAGATTGTGAATATATACAATTCTAAAAAGCATAGGTATAAATATTATACATAGGTTTGCATTGAATAGGTTGACGATGTAAAATATATAGAAATATATTATATAAATGATAGATATTTTTTTATTAGATAAATGATAGATATTGGTTATTGAATGTGGGAAAGCTTTTCTAGACAGATACCCACTTATATTCGTTAAAATTATCTAAATCTTTATAGGACTTGATTTTAAGGTTGCATTTGATTTTCGAAAATAATTTTTTTTTTTAAAAAATAAAATCTAAAAAAATGAAATTTATTTGGTTATAAATGTTACAAATAATGTAAATAAAATCCTAAAAAGAAAATGAATTTAAGTTTGAATTTGATTTTGGAAAATAGTTTTTATTTTTTCAAAAATATTTTTTACAATACGAACATGTGAAATAAAATAAAAAACTTCCTACGTTTATAGGACTTGAATGTGTAAGAGAGTTTATATCTAAAAAATGTCAAAACATATATTTTTTTTCATTTATATGACTGGTTCATGGTCAAATAATTATTTAAATTTTAAAATAAAATCTATTTTTGTATATTTGGAATTTTCATTTCTTTTAATTAACCACTGATATTCGATCTATTAATTAACTAATCTAAATCGTGTATTATAGAGCCGAGGACAATCCTCCAACCCACTTTGCTCCATTCGTATACATCATTGATCAAACCTCTGACATTGCTTAAAGAATCTTCTATCTCACCCACTAGACGAACCAATTAACAGTAAATTTTGCATATTTTTTTTAAATATACATAACCTCATAATATTTAGAATTTATTAGCAAAAACAACAATAATGATAGTGTTAGGCATGGAATAGTCTGCAAATATGTTAGAGAGGCCCAATAGAAAACAGTAATATTGTCCCACTTTTCGTCAAAATTCATATTCTAGTCCCTATATTATGTATAAATTATAAAATCAATATGTGAATTCTAATATAGTCATCAGTACTAGTGCACTTTTCCAATTTTAAGATTTCAGTCATGGCCCGTCCAAATAGTAGCCATTAAATTTTGTTAGAGTTAATTGCATTATGTGTCCTCAAAGTATGATCTCCTTCATTTTAAATTGATCCCTAAATTTTTAAGTATTCCAATTTATCCTTAAACAATGACTATCATTCTAATTAATCCTCAAACTTTTGAACATTTTAATTTCACCCCAAACTATGACATTCATTCCAAATTGGTCCCCAAACTTTTTGAACATTCAATTTCATCCCAAACTATACACATTTACAAATCAAATCACTTGTTATACAATAGTTAGGCCAAGTTATATTATTGTATGTTTGAAAAAAAATAAAATTTAGGTTAACTATGATGGAAACTAATTACATATTTGAATGAAATTGGGGATGAAATTAGAATATTCAAAAGTCAGGGGACTAATTTAAAAAGAGGGTCATATAGTTTAGGGATGAACTTAGAATGTTCAAAAGTCAGGGGACCAATTTAAAAAGAGGGTTATATAGTTTAGGGATGAACTTAGAATGTTCAAAAGTTTAAAGGACTAATCTAGAATAAGAGTCATAGTTTAGGGGTGAAATTAAAATTTTTAAAAGTTTAAAGATAAATTTAAAATAATGGTTATAATTTAGAGACATATGATGTAATTAACTTAGTTTATTAAGTCAAATTCTATTATTATTATTTTTATTTTATTCATGTCACATGTTTAATTCATTTTCTCCAATTCGATCATTTTAAGTCCGTTTAATTCTGATCATAAATTTGATCACTTTAAATCCATATAATCTAATCACACTGGGCTTGTAGATCAAACTGTTCATTTTTTCCTTTATTCCCTAGAGTGCGTTTGGTTCACAGAATGTAAGATTGCCGTGTTTGGTTAAAGGAATAAAAGATTATTGGAATGTATATTTGACCAAATTGTCTTATTATATATTTATTTTTTTAACAAGTTGGAAAATATTTATATATTTTCTTTAAAAAAATTAAATTCATAAAATTTATATAATTTTTTTACAAAATTGAAAATATAAAAAGGTTTAATAAAAGGGTAAAATTTTATTTTAACTCCTGAACTTCATATAAAATTCTAATTATAGATTTTTTTGTAAATATAAAATAGTTTAAGGATAAATTTGTAATTTAACCTTAAAATTTTACTATTCAATGACAGAATAAGGATATTTTTGAAAGAAATTTTTTAAGGGTATTTTAGTCCAAAACTCCGATAATCTAACAATACCTAACGAAAGGGAGGTAATGACATTCTTGGTAATATACCCCAAAAAATCCACTATTGGTAATGTAAGATTACCGAGAATGATATTCGGCCAAGCAAACTGGGGAATGTGGGTTCCATCCCATAGGAATCTCACATTTCACCCTTTTTCTCCCTCTAGGTAGAATTTGTATTAGATTTAAAATTGTAAAAAACAATTGGAAATTTACAAAAATTGAGAACTTAAAATTGAGCAAATAAAAATACTAGCATTGAATCCACTACAAAACTAATAATATAATTTGATTTCTTGATTATTTTATATTAACGGGGTAAATATAAGGTTGTATTTGTTTAAAGATAACTCTAAACCATTTGACATTAAATGTTCCTAGAATAACAACAATTTCTTTACTACTGAGGTCACTTTGGTTTGTGCACTTAGAAAATCTTCATTAAGCAAAAACAGTGCAACCTGTGGTGGTGATGTTGGCTTGCTTAGGTTTATGGTTATCTAAATTACCTCTTCCATTTTGCAGGAGTGAGCTTGGGTGAAGGTACAGGAGCAACAATATCAGATGACGTGGATGAGCTGCAAATGGACTTCTCTTTGGACCAATCTGCCTCTGATGGCCATGATTTAATGGGTTTTGGTCCCCTACTTCCCACTGAATCCGAAAGGTCTTTAATGGAAAGGGTCCGTCAAGAGCTCAAGATCGAACTCAAACAGGTCCTTCTTCCCTGCAAATTTACTGTGTTCCACGTCGGATCATCATAGCAAATGAAAGTAACATGATCCATCTGTCTAATTACAGGGTTTCAAATCAAGAATCGAGGACGTGAGGGAGGAAATCCTACGCAAAAGAAGGGCTGGAAAGTTACCAGGTGACACAACCACAGTGCTCAAGAACTGGTGGCAACAACACTCAAAGTGGCCTTATCCAACCGTAAGCATTAGCACTACTCGACTGTTGTAATTCATTATCGGTTGAATTCGACGTTCACGTACGATGATTATTGCAGGAAGATGACAAGGCGAAACTTGTGGAGGAGACAGGGTTGCAGCTGAAGCAAATCAACAACTGGTTCATTAACCAAAGGAAGCGCAATTGGCATAGCAATTCTCAGTCTGTGACTTCCTTGAAGTCCAAGAGGAAAAGGTAGACAACAAGCTCCATGTATGTGTGGTGCATGTAGATTCAAAACCCTAACATGCTTCTTGTAAGAGCCCTATGTTTCTTTTTTAGATCTCTAATTTCTAATGTTCATTATATTTGTTGAGGTGCGAGCCAATGTTGCAGATTCCGAACTGGAAACATAGACAACGCATTTAATGTTTGCTTAAACTGTTTCTCTTGCATTGCTGGGATTTTCATATTTGGCATTGTCGGTGATAAAGTTCATCAATTTTGATGGGGTTTACTTGAACATCAGTTTCGTACTCCAAAATTTTATATTTGACAAAAAAAAATCGTAAAACGAAGGGTAAAATACACAAATAGTCCACTGACTATTAAAGGTTATAAAATAGTCATTCAATATGATATTGTTTTGTTGAGTCCTTGATTATTAAAAGTCAAAATGATCATATGTTCTAAACTCATTCTTTTTTGTTAAAAAATTTATGGATGTCTGAGCGGACATTAACATTCTGATTGAGATATGATAATTCTTTGAGATTCTGAGATCAGATTTTATCATATCGCAATTAACATGTTAATATTCAGCTCAGAATGTCATCATTTTTTTAATGGAAAAGGACGAGTTTGAACATATGAATAGTCAAGTGATCATTTTATAACTTTTAATAGTCGAGGGTCTCAACAAAGTAACACCTTTTAATCGAAGGATTATTTTGTTTATATTATCGTTTCAAAATCAGGCATGTACACATTTCCCATTTCAATTTTTAAAAGTTCATAGCTGGCTGTAGAGGGAGAAATTTAAATGTCAGATTCACTGTGCATATTCTAACAACACCCACAAAACCCTCGGATTTAAACGTTTGAAAGTGCTAATTTGTGGAGGCTACGTTTTCCCGTGAAAAATCACATGAACACACTGAAGTTTATGCAAATTTATAAAATCGTGAGTGTGTCCTCGTAAAATCTCTCTTGCAACTAGAATTCGCATTTACTCAAATTTGGGTATAATTTTCCTCTCCCATAGTATTTGCAGATAGGTCTAAGATGTCTTCGTGTTTAGTCTTAGACTTAGAATACATCAAATGTGATTAATAAATATCACAATGAATTAATCTAAAAATAGTTGAAGTATTTCATTCATTAGATCCATGAATATATCAAGGACATTAATTAAATCAAAAGGAATAATGAGAAATTCGTAGTGGTCATATATAATTTTGATTGAAGTCTCAGAGACATCAAATTCTTTCACCTTAAGTTGGTATTACTTAGATATTAGATTAATCTTAGAGATTACTATAACCCCTATGAAGTGGTTGAATAAATCATTAATCCTCGACAACATATATTTAATCTTAATAGTCAATTTATTTCACTGACGATAATTAATATAGTCTAAGAGTTACATCATTCTTTTTCACACAAATTCGGGAGCGCCTAGTGACACATTAGACTATATGAAACCCTTATTTTATTTGTAGTGAATTTCATTCCTTCCTTTTAAACCAACCAAATGATTCCACATGACATCTTTTGTTTGGTTATTAATTAATTTAATATTAAAATATTAAAATATAATTAATTATTTTAAAAAATCATCAACATGACATTCTATGTAACATGCCACATCAGTATTTCAATCCACGTGGACATGTCACATCAGTAGAAAACATTGACCGTTAGTCAATTAATAGTTTCCATCCAATCAGGGGTATGTCCCCCAAAATGAAATGTTGGGGGTCAAAGTGTTTCAAAAAAAAGAAAAAAAGAATATAGGTCAAAATGACACTATTGTCAAACATTAGAGGTGTTTTTTGTCATTATGCCTTTTATTATTGTTCCCATAATAATAACTGATTAAGGATATTTAGAACAATTAATAATATTATTCAAGGATGTTAATAAAAAAATGCACGCAATTGATAATAATAAAAAACCAATAATCAAAATATTGTGTCCATACAATATGTTTAGGGCACTAATGCTGACAATCTCTCACTTGCACTAGGCCTACTCATGAATGTATCTCATACCTATAAACCTAACCTGACAATCATGTTTTGCTCGTGATAGTCAATGGATATGCAATATTTTCATATGTTAAAACTTTGTTTATCTTAACGTCGCCCCTCTCAATGATTTGTCGATTGAGATGATAACGTCTCAGAGTGTGTTTGGATTGCTGATGTGATATGGGTTCCTTCACTTGTGCAATGGCACCGTTATTGTCACAATATATATCAACATGATTTGTGACGCTAGGAACACTCCAAGATTAATAATGAATTTCCTGATCCAAATTGCTTATTTCACCGCATCAGATACTGCTATGTATTCAACTTTAGTTGTAGAATCAACAACAATACTTTGCTTTAAACTTTTCCAACTGTCAACGCCACCATTTAAACAAAACACATATCCCGACTGTGATCAACAATCACCCTTGTCAGTTTGGAATCTTGCATATGTTAACCACTTACTACTAGATCATTTTCCAATTCGTCATAAACTAATAACATATATTTAGTTTTTCTCAAATACTTCAGTATGTTTTTTACAACTTTCCAATGACTCTCACCGGGATCTAATTGGTATCTACTTGTTATGCTCAAAGCATAGAAAGCATCTAGTCTAATGCGTAACACGACATACATGATAGATCATATTTTCGAAGCATAAGGAATTTTACTCATGCAAACTCCCTCATCTTTAGAGTTAGGACACCGAGTCTTGCTAAGAGTAATGCCATGAAACATAAGCAAGAATCCTCTCTTAGAATCTTGCATACTAAACTTTTTTAGTACTTTGTCTATAAAAACAATTTGACTTAGACCAATTAGCCTTTTAGATCTATCTCTATAGATCTTTATCCCAAGGATATAGACAACTTTCCTAAGTCTTTCATTGAGAAACACTTTCCTAATCAAGACTTGACATTCTGCAAGGTAGGAACGTCGTTCCCATTGAGTAAAATGTCATCGACATATAAGACCAAAAACATAACTGCACTCCCACTAACTTTCTTGTAAACACAAGGTTCATCTTCATTTTTAATAAATCCGATCTCTTTGATTGACTCATCAAAATGAAGGTTCCAACTTTGTGAAGTCTGTTTCAATCCATAAATGGATCTTTGAAGCTTGCATACTTCACCAGAATTATCATATTATACGAAACCCTCAAGTTGTGCCATGTACCAAATTTAAGAAAAAACAAGCTGGAGCTCTTACCAATCCACATATCATGTGGTGTCTTTTCAACTGCTTTGGAAGGAACTAGATTTAGTTTGAAATCAACTATTTCAAGCACAAGGCCCCTGATAACTCTCCAAAGAGTTATCAATTTAGCACTTTATACCCGGATTTAGCTTGAAATTAAGTATGTTTAATAGCATTTTAGGTTTTGTTTAGTCTTATTTTTATATATTTTTGCATTTTTAAAGTTTGGTTAACTTGAGCTAATTTTTGGATTTTCTGTTAAAAAAGGTACAGATGTTGCAACAAAGAAGTAAATGCTACAACAACTGATGACTCACTAGGTTGGGCAAGCCTTCTGGATCAGGGACAACTAGTTGGGACAATTGTATTCTCTCCAACTATCTGTTTCTACGTGGAGAATCTTTATTCGAGACAATTTTGACCTCATCACCTATAAATATGACCTCACCAAGCTCATTTAATAAAAAAATTCTTCATTCTATCATCTTCCACACAAAATCTCTCGTCTTTTTTTCATGGCTACCTAAGCTGCTCATCTGGGGGAGTGCTGCAGTATCTGGGGATTAGTCTTTGCGAGTAGCATTGACAGTCAGCAAGATTGCTCAACTACTTAAACTTTGCATGAGATAGGAAAGCTTAGCTAGTTTATTTATATATTTGGGATATTGAATGTTCTAACATAGTTGTTTGGATGGAACCCTTGTTTATAAGAATGCTATTTAATTTGCTACTTTGTGCCTTATGCATTATGAATGATGAAGGAGATTTCATTGTTCAATATATGTTGTTATTTTATTTAGAGATAAATTGAATGATTCTCATACTAATTTCGAGGCTTTGGTATTGTGAGAAGCAAATGTATGCTGAGATGTGTGTCCAATGTTTAGCATCATTACTATGTGATTGTTTGTCTTAATGAGAGCTAATTCATATTAATCTATTTATAGTGATTAATGTTAAATACATTGTAGTCAAGTTGGTTACATGAATTGAGCAAGGAATCCATTTTATCATCCCACTCTATTTGATTTCTAAATCTGTGCTTTTCCAATGCTATAACATGAACCTGCATCTATTGCATAATTTATCCTCTTTTAGTAATCGTTTCATTTTTATGTTAATTCAACCAACACTTGTTTCTTTAATTCAATAGTAAACTTTTTGCTTTCAGTGGGTTCGACATCCAAAATCCCAAAAGGATTTCCACTTTGTTACTTGGTGACGATACATATACTTGCCTGATTGCTATAACATTTTTATATCATCAAGTTTTTGGCATCATTTCTAGGGAGCAACTGTTTACTTTTGAGTTTTTTTTACTAACTGTTTTCTTTTCTTTTGTAGGTACTTTTCTATTACATGTTTGATAGTGATGACTTAGTACCATTTGATCATGAGATTAAGAGAACCTTTAGACGTCATCAACAAGAAGCTAATCAAAACTGAATTCAAATGGGTGACCAACCATGTAATACCCCAAAATTTTGGTTAGTGACCAAAATGTAAATTTTGAAAGTTGGTGGACAAAGAAGAAAATTGGGAAAATTTAGGGACTTAGTGGTTGTTTTTCCAAAAATATTTTTTATTCCATAAATGGATATTTTACTCTTGAGAGTGGGGTTTTATTGAAGTCAGATTCTTGATCTGGAAATTGTGTTAAAAACTAGAAAGTGTCAAAGTCGGTAAATCAGATTGAATAAAATTTTGAGAAAATTTAAAGGATGATAAATTAAGCTTAGAAATATTATTTCCACATGTTAAAATGATGGGTAATAATATGGACCGTTGGATTTGAGAAATTTATTTCCATGTTCAATTTGGACCGTTGGATAAAAAATGGCAAGATTGAAATTTTGGAAAGATTGCATGGGCAAAGTTGTAAGGGGTGAAATAATTTTGTCCATCTTTGACTTCGGAAGATGATAAGGGTTATGTGGCTTTGTATTATAGTAAATATCAAGTTTCATTGATGGTAAAATGGACATTTCACATTAAATAAATTTTTAATTCATTTAAGCTTAAATTAAGGCCAAATTAACATGAAATGAAGTATACATTTCATGAAAACTTAGCCATTTTCAGCTCCGTTTTGTGCTCCCCATGAACAAGGTAAGAGATTTTTTTTTTTCATTTTGAGCAATTTCCTTTGGATTTTGGATCATGACGTGAAATAGAAAATTATTCTATTAAAAAAACACTATCATTTGGTACTATTATTGTTTGCTAATTTGATTTGTGTTCAAAGATCCCAAATTCTAGTATTTATGTTCACATTAGGTATTATGGAATATATGAAGGATTTTGAAGTTATTGAGGTTGTAGAATCATTTCCAAGCATGATTGATGATTAAAATTACTTGTACATGGTCATACGAACATATGAAGTTTCAACCTAACCCTAATCTTGGGAGAAAGATGTGTTTTGATGAAATTAAGTTAGGGTTTTGATTTTAGAGATTTTATAAGGTTGAATTGAATTTGATTTCATGCTTGAATCGAATCAAAATTGAGTAAAATCATGAAAACCCTAATCTTGAACATACAAAGCATTCGACCATTACTATAGAGGATGAGAAAAATTATAGAAAAATATGTTGGTGATGGAAATGATGTAGGAAGTATTCTACAAGCCTTAGAAAAATTTGGGACCATTTTGTAATTTTTGAAAAGTTGAGGGGACCAAATTGACAATTTTGATTGTTGTGTAATTGTTCAATAGTTGATGTACTATGCTGGAAATTAATGTTTGAGTGTTGAAATTGAAGTTAGGATGTGAAATTAAACTATTTTGGAAAGCTTGTAAAAGTTAAGGTTTAAATAAAAAGAGAAAATAACCTCAGTGACCAAAAATGCCTTATAATATACGATTTTAACCAACTTTTTTTGGATTTGCCAAAATGACCAACTAAATCGCAATGCGATCGATAATTCGCAACGCGATCTCCGGTATCGCAAATCAGTTTCCAGATTCGCAACGCGATTCTGACTATCGCATTGCGATTTCCAAATTCGCGTTGCGATTTTCCTAATTCGCAATGCGAATACGTAAATCGCAACGCGAATACGTAAATCGCAACGCGAATACGTAATCGCATTGCGATTTACGTAATCGTGTTGCGATTTTAGTAAATCGCAACGAGATTCTGACTATCGCAATACTGAATTTCAAATTCGCAACTCGATTTCTGAATTCGCAACAGGTTTTAATTTCGCAACACAAATGTTTTGGGTATATAACTACGCAGCAGTAGCAACTCATAACCTAAATCCCTAAATCGCAACTCATTCCATCTCTATCTATCACTCTCTCCGGCGACATCCGTTCCTATATCCAACGACATCCTTCCCCATCCGGCAACAGGTTTTAGTTTCGCAGCTCGTTTGTTTAGTAAATTAATTTACAATAATGAAATCATCTAATGTTGATCATGTTTGGATAGATTTGTGTTTTGGAGGGTCATGGGAGAATGTTCATGGTGTTTTACAATATATGCCTTTACCCATGAATCTTCAACTAAAACTCTCATTAAAAAAGTTAACTTATGAAACTCTAATGTTACGTGTTGCAAATAAATTGAATTTAGAGCCCCTAAGTGGATTTAGGCTACCTTATCAGAGAAATGATAAAGTTTATTTGTTAACCGACAATGAAGATGTTGAACGATTCATTGCTTACATTAGTGTTTCAAGTGATGATGTTACATTGTATGTTGTTGAACCTAGATTTTGTGAAGTTGGGTCAGTAGCGGGTAGTAATCAACTAAGTTTTTCAACCCCAGTTTATGATGCTCAAAATTTAATGGTTCCACCACAATTTCATCACCAAGAAAATATTGTTTCACCACATTTCCAATACCAAACACAATCTCAAAACCCATAACCTTTCCCTAATCCAAATCCCAATCAACTTTCAGCACCAAATTCCGGTTTTCGTATTGACCAGTTAGACGATGATGAGCCAACAAAAAAAATTGTGAGTACTATTCAGTATTCAAAATTTGATCTTGGTCAATACCCGGACTTTGATCTTGGTCAATACTCAGATTTTGATGATTTTTCAGAAGAAGAAACAGACCCTGTGTGTAATGATTTTGATATTGGTCAATACCCGAATTTTGATGATGAAACAACCGTTGCCGAGGAAGATGTTGTTGATGATAATGAGGAGAAAGTTACGACTGTAAATGAACATGTTGAACATCCATTCTGTAATTCATATAACACTGAAGAAGAAAAAGAAGAAGAAGAAATCCCCAAAGAAAAGTCCCCGAAGAAAATGCCACGAGAGTATAATTGGAATATGCCAGAATTACTTCAGATACCGGAAGAAGAGTTGGTAAAGATAGCAGTTGATTGTTACACAAAAATTATTCGTATCAAGAAAGATGATTGTTTTGATACAAAGGAATACTTGAAGATAACTTTGTATACGAAATGTGTGGAAGATGGCTATCAACTAAAAGTTAACAAATCAAGCAAAGATCGTTTTGAAACAAGGTGTATGATTGACAAAAACTGTATGTGGCGTATGATTGCAAAGAGGATAAAAGATTGAAATGTTTCAAGTTAGGACTTTTATTGATAAACATACATGTTTAAGAACCAAGTTTTTCCTCACCATAGACAGGCAAACAAAAGGTGTTGGGTGGTTTTTTGGCTGGGTTAATGTTTTTGAATGGTAGGGTATATCGGGGACATGAAATTATGACTAACATGAATGCTCGGTTCAAGATTAGTATCTCATATTCTCAAGCTTGGAGAGCCAAATGTTATGCCTTGGAATTGTTGAGGGGGTCGCCAGAAGCATCGTTTGCCCAACTGCCGACTTATTGTCACAATTTAAAGCTGAAAAATCCTGGGTCGGTAACTCATATCAAAACAGATAGAGATGGACGCTTTGAGTTGCTTTTTATCGCCATTGGTGCTGCGGTTAGTAAATCAATATAATTTTGTTGACTCATTTTTGTTAGTTATATGCATTTCACATTTAAATGATTATATTTATTGTGTATATGATTTTGTAGATTCGTTTGTTTATTAATTGCATGCGCCCATTTATTATAGTTGACGGAACACATTTAAAAGGTCGATACCATGGAGTAAACTTATTAGCAGTAGCCATGGATGCTAACAATGGGATACTGCCAATAGCTTACGGGGTTGGCAAATCTGAAACCTCTGATTCATGGACATGGTTTATGGGGCATCTTAGGGATTGCATAGGTCCTATTAGCAATCTGACAATCATATCCGATAGGGCAAACTCAATTGACAACGCTGTTGAAGGTGTTTCCCAGATGCTTTTCATGGACTTTGTGGTGTTCATTTGTATAGAAATCTAAAATCAAGGTCTGCTGGTATAAAAATAACAAATGGACATACTGGAAGGCTGTAAAAGCTTATCGGGAAGTGGATTTTAGTAAGCATATAAACTGTTTAAGACGTGTTTTGCGTCAGTGTGCTCAAACACTAGAAGATGTCGGGTTTGAAAGATGGTCAAGAGTACATCAACTTGGAGCAAGATATGGTTTCATGACGTCTAATAGTGCAGAATCAATCAACGCTCTAAGTCGTCATTCCCGAAAATTACCCATTACTATGTTAATGGAGTTTTTCGAGCCTCTATTCAACAGTGGTACGACAAGAAAAGAAACCATGCAGGTATTATTTCTTTAAATTCGTAACTTATCATATATTTTACTAAGTATTATTTATTTAAATTTAAGGAACATTGGAACATCGTGTTACACCATGGACAGAAAAAAGATAACGAAACGTGTTCTGAAGTCAACGTCATGGAGAGTTAAACCATGTTCAAACACTTTGTTTGAAGTACTGGATAATAACTTAAATGGCCTTGTCGATCTAAATGCAAAGACGTGTAGTTGTATGAAATGGCAAACATCTGGCTATCAGTGTGGCCATGTTATAAAAGTTTCTCTTCATCTAAACCAAGATGATTCAAGCGCATATGCTATGGATTACTACACTACAGAAGTATATCGACAGACTTATGGCGAGATTGTCTACCCTATTCCACATCCTTCTGAATGGGACATACCAGATGACTTACAAACAGTTTTGCCACCAGCCATAGACAGAAGGCTACCTGGCTGACCAAAAAGTCACGATCGTATACCGTCTAAGGGTGAAGAGAAGAAGAGATCGACATGTAGTCGGTGCAAGGAAAGTGGTCATACAAGGTTGACATGTGGATCACCAGTGCCATCACAATCATCTTTTCCTCTACCAAAATATGGATCCTCATCAAAATCCAAAGCTCATATGGTGTCAAGCAAAGGCAATCAAAATCGCAATCATCTTTAAAATCCCAATCACAACCGGCTTCACCTTTTGGGACTGTTAACTTAGGTGATTTTTAAATGCAAACGTTGTATTATGTGGATTTTATGTGTGAACTTTTAACATTTTCAGTTAGGCATGTATTAGTAACTTGAGTTTGAAAATTGTTATGATCTGTTCAGTTGTTATCACTTATTAGGCATTCATTTGACTATCGCAATACGGAAATGACGTTCGCAATCATCTTAATGTCTATCGCAACGTGGAAATGAAAATCGCAACGAGAGAATCGCAATGCGAAATGAAAATCGCAAAGCGAAACTAAAATCGCAATGCGGAAATGACTATCGCAATGCGAAATAAAATCACAACCAGAGAATCGCATTGCGAAATGAAAATCGCAACGAGGGAATCGTAAAGCGAAATGAAAATTGCAACGCGAATTTAGTTTCGCGTTGCGATTATAGTTTCGTCGTTGCGATTTTCATTTCATTTCGCATTGCGATTCTCGTTGCGATTTTCATTTCGCATTGCGATAGTAATTTTTACCTTCAACATAATGCAGATTGAAATCAACAAAATCAACCATTACATTTCAATCAATTAAACAAGCACAAATAAGAATTATGTTCAACAAATCAATTTTACAAATCAATTAAACAATCAAAAAATAAGCAATAATTCTATTTCCTCATCTACTATTGAATCAACTTTTGCAGCCATACATCATTTTCACGCAGCTCACTTCTGAGATTAACCTGCAGAAACCAAACATTTGCTCAACAACATTTTCTACACATCTAAAACCTACAAACAACAAATTATTGAATTCTAGGTACTTAACCAAACATTTTCAAACCAAAAGCCTATAAACTTACCAATTGTTTATGGACATTTTTATAACGCGGATGCAGGTAGGCAGTCTCGTATATATCATCTAGCCATATAATGCCGAAACCACAAGCCTACTGCAACTCTATCTCTATCGGTGGAGGTAGATACTTTATACTTCCTGATCAAACGCTCCAACGCCAAGCATACGAGAGGACCACAATCCCCTCTGACTCCTTTCGTTTGTTGTGGTGCGGTCTCGTCTCTGCTAACTGTAATATTGAGCTTCTTTGGCTTCTTGTTTCCAGAACGAGTCCAATAATTTATCGCATCTAAGAATTTAGCCAAATGAGAGCTCCATCCCTTAATAATATCTCTTAAATCAGCCAATGATATGTAATTTATCATGCTGTCATATACTATTGCCCTAAGGGATGGGAGCTGAAGCTCGACGAGAAGCCAATGTTTACGTTCCAAAACAGGGATAAACACCTGCAATCATAAGTAATAATTCATTCATTTGCGCACTTATTTATTAATACCTTTAAACTCAATCTAAAATAAATACTAACCTTATCGACCTCCCACCATGCAGGATAAAGTTTAGCTTGTCTATTGCCCAACGCAAATGATTCATCTCGTTGATTCTTCAAGTGAACGCGTTAAAAGACGTTGGCATAATTGTATATCGTGTATTTCTTTTTATTTTCCTTAAGTTTCCTAATTATTAGAAGACGTGACACCCACGCATCGATATGCTGTTTTACAAAAAAAGACATATATTAGTGATTTACATAAATTAAAAAAAATAATCAAATTGAAAAATAAGAAAAATATAAGACTTACCCCTCCATCGAAATAGCCATTGTCTTCGACCCCTAATAATACGCCCCACCAAGACCGATCAAGCAACAAATAGATATCATCGTTGAGCTTGCATATGTCAGTGAAACACCCTGGCTCCGCTCATGTAGATAAAAATCAACTACGGTCTTAGCCCAAAGGTGTTATCCAGAATTGTGTCCGGTAGTTGTCTCCTCTCCACTTTAGATACCGGAATGGTACTGGCCGGTAACTCATACGAGAGCCAACTCTCATCCATCATGTCTGGCAACTTCAGAGGGTTTCTCAAGAATCTTACATATGACGCCATATGAATCGGGCTCTTGAATGGTGGGAGGGACCTCTTCAACGATGACAATGGCCTCTTGAATGGTGGGAAGGGACTCTCGAGGAATGATAGGGGCCTCTTCAACGATAGGAGTGGACTCTTGAGGGATGACAGGCGAGTCGGGCTTCTTCTTGCGTGTCTTCGTACTATTGGGGTGTACGGAGACTTAATAGCACGTGCACACCGTCTGATGCATGAACTCTGTCGTGCAAGAAAAACCCGACGTAAAGCATCCACCTTATCGGGCCGCTAAATAATTAAATACAAAAATCAGTAAATAAACAGACATGATATTTATCATCAAGTTAAATATGGAAAATCTTAAACTTACCTCGTTACGTAGAGTATGAACCTCATTCTACAATGATACTACCATCTCACGTAGAGCGGGAACCTCACTACGTAAAGTAGACACCTCCACACGCCATGCACCATCGTTATCGCGTAGAGTACCGATCTCCTCACGCAAGGCATTGACCTCATCACGTAACTCCCTTGACTCATCCCGTAGAGGTGGAAGTGGATAACAGGGAGATAGAAGTCGTGGCATCTTTGTCGGTCACCTATTATGAGGTGATGGTGGAGAAGAGGCTCGATGATGTGACGGGATAGGTGATGGCTCTCGTTGTAGAGGTGTATAGTCGGGTCGATCAGGTGATGGCTCTGGGTGAGGTGATGGCTCTCGAAGTGGAGGAAGTGGAGGCTGCTCATCATTCGTGCCATCAAAAAATCGCTGACTAACTTGCCACCAATCAGTGGCAAGCTCAGCCTCCGTGGTGTCAGTCTCTGTAATGGAGTGTTGGCCTCCTAAAAATATAAAACTCAAACAAATTAAACGTCTACTATTAATAACTTGTTTATATATGATAGTATTTGTGTTAACTTACATTATTTATTGTCGCATATGGTATTAAGTCTTCCCAATCCAACAACGTTTCCTCTTCCAGGAAATAGCCCTAGGAATATCATTTGAAGTTTTTAATGCATATGTATGCATGCTGGGGAAAGCCTCGAATATCCAAATCTACAAACAATATAATAACAAACATTAGTAATTGTTAAATAATTAATTATAATTTTGAAAACATTATATAGAAATTCTTACCTTAAAGGCCCAAACAAAGCCTGACAAAGTGTATTTCGACCCATCGCCACGCAAACTTTTGCGGTCATCAAAGGCAGTCGACAAATTAGTCCAGGTAGCTTTCCATATATACGAACCCCACGGAAACAGATTTCATGCATTTAGGTCCTCTACCAATAATATTAGCTCCTGAGGAATAGGTTGTCTGGCCTCTCTGCCTAAAAAGCCGGCATACAAAAGTACTAGAAGGCATACTTGGACAACATCGATGTCATTCATCCGAGTAAAACCATTTTTCTTATTAAACAATTTCTTCAGGTCTTCGACGTGTAAGTTCGACTTCTCTATTGACTCATCAGAAAAAACCCGGGATAACCATGATGGGCGGGTGATATGACAAGTGTACCGGCCTACATCATCGTGTCCGAATCGTAGACCATTGATTAAGCAGAACTCCTTCCGCCCAAAACAAGTATACGCCGATGGAAAATGAAACCATATCTCTTCCTCACCACGTTGTATACTGTCGGGTAGATCGCTAGTCATGGTCTGAAGCCACAAATAGGTCAAATTAGCATCTCCACCCGGATGCAGTACTCTCAGCCATGGCCCGAAGCAGGTTTCCTCAAACAATTTTCTTTGTGCAGGTGAAAGCTTTGAAGCAATTGTAGTGGCTAGACTAACTTTATTCCTTAATATTAATGAAGCCGAAAAAAATTTCTACAAAAACAATAAACATA